GGGGCGGAGGGGCGGAGGGGCGGAGGAGGGGCGAAGACCGAGGTCCAGGTCCCGGTTGCCGCCTGCCGGCGCAGCCTTGGCTCTGACAGGCCCGGCCCCTCGCCCGGATCGCGGCTCCACCAATCGCAGGCCTTGCCCGCCGCCGCACCTGCGAGGAGGGGCCCGCGCGCAGCCGCCGCCGTCGCAGCGTCCCCGCCCCGCTCCGCCCCTATCCCGTCGCTCGGAAATCACCCGCCGCCGGCGCCTGGCTCCCTGCAGGCGAGGAACGGAAGCCGCTATCTGGAGGTGGGCTCCGGCGTTGCAGAGCCGCGGCAGCTGCGGCAACGGCGAGGTGCTGGCCGGGAGCGCCCGGCAGACCCCGCTACTCCGAGCGGGCGGGCGCCTGGAGCGGGCAGCCTCGCTCAGGGAGGTGGAGGCGGCCACGGCGGCCGTGCTGGGGCGCCCCTCGCGCAGCGCTCCATGCCGGTGTGGTGCTGCCGCTGCTCACTGGCCGGTCATTTCAGGTGACTTCCCCACCGGGGATGGGAGGGGAGCAGGCGGGGATGCAGCGCTCTGGAGGTCTGCGGCCCATCCGGGGCTGGGACCGGGGCCGGGGTGGAGGGCGAGCGCCTGGACCGCAGCGTCCCACCGCCTTGGCCGCCCTGCTCGGCGTGGGGGTGGGGTGCGGTGAGGTGTGGCGGGGTCCTTGCTCCAGCGAGCCCTGCGCTGTTGTTCCCTATTCTCTTGCTGGACCGCGCGGGTCACGGGACTGCGGGACCGGCTAGGCCCAGGCTGAGTCGGTTACGGCTAGCTGAGACTTCCGAGTAAAGTTTTAGCGAAGGGCTCTACGAAGTGCCTGCCTCCCTAAAAAAATTATTTCTTAAAAAGTCTTCTAAATAATTTAATGAGTGGAAGGAAGGTTTCAGTGTCATCTAGTTACAAATAAATTCTGCCTTGTTAAGAGGTTAGCCATGGTAAGCCATGTGTGTTGTAGAAATTTGAAGAATGTGGCGATTTTAGACTTACCTTATGGGGCAAGTTTTTACGGATGATAAAAGATACTACGTTTCTAAAATAAAAGTGAGCGTGTTTTCTAGAGCTAGCATTTGGCCATTGGTGGAAACACCAGACACTAGAAACTGATTTTAACCCAGGGGTGAAGATTAAGCTTAGGGAATACTTTAGTACCTTGCTTTACATATACTGATGTTCCAGAATAATTCTGTATAAGACTGCTTGTCTGGTAAGATATGAAATTCTGATCAAGCGTTCCTAAATTATGGGTTTCATAGATAAAATTTAGATAACACATGAACATGGATGGAAAGAAAGGTGTATCATTTCACTAAACTTTAAAAACTAATTACTTAAGTTACAAATATAAGCAACAAATCACGGTAGTAGTTACAACTATCATCAGTAAAGATCATAAATATGTTTATATCACATTGCATTTGCAAATATGGAAATACTGTTTATACTTCAAAATTATAGTGACTTACACATCACTGAATTTAATGCAGTAGAGAAGCACATATACATATATATCACGTTTACTTTTTATGACTTTTAATTGGTTTTCTTGTAAATCCTGTGTGTATTTAAGAACAGTATTCAGAGGGCCGGGCGCGGTGGCTCAAGCCTGTAATCCCAGCACTTTGGGAGGCCGAAGCGGGTGGATCACGAGGTCAAGAGATCGAGACCATCCTGGTCAACATGGTGAAACCCCGTCTCTACCAAAAATACAAAAAATTAGCTGGGCATGGTGGTGCGTGCCTGTAATCCCAGCTACTCAGGAGGCTGAGGCAGGAGAATTGCCTGAACCCAGGAGGCGGAGGTTGCGGTGAGCCGAGATCGCGCCATTGCACTCCAGCCCGGGTAACAAGAGCGAAACTCCGTCTCAAAAAAAAAAGAACAGTATTCAGAGTAGAGTTCAAGAAGCGTCATCAAATAGTAAAAGAGATGTAAGGCACAGAGAAAGTTCAGAACTTCTTTTGTAATAGCAATAATCCAAACTTGTCTAACTTCTCAGTGAGTTTAGAATGAGTCTCTCAGTTGTGGATATTAAGGAAAAATGGTTTCATATAATAAACTGCTTGATTTTAACTTTTAGGCAAATTTGTTGACTACTAAGACAGTGGTTTGAGAGTATCAGTTTCTCTGTGGAAAGTTTTAGGAAATAGGTTCCCCTAGTGAAACTTGTTAAACTAAATAAAGCCCTTGAGAAATTAACATGCCTTTCAGAAAACACTGTGTAAAAGCTATTTGACACCTTTTGATGTACAATGTGGGATTCATAGTCTTTTGACTAACCCTAGGTGGTGAATACAGTATGCTTCCTCCTGTGCACAGAAATTTGGCATAGGGAGTGAAAACAAAGTATTTGCTGTGTTTTGGTCTTGAGGGACAGAAAGGAAAACAAGCTAGCTGCCAAAAGAGAAACATTATGATTAATAAACCACACTTCTTTTTGCAAAAACAGTTCTGTTGTGTCTAAAGTTGTAGCCTTGGCTATTCAAGCTCTTTTTTGGTTCCATAGGAATTTTAAAATAGTTTTTTTTCTAGTTCTGAATTTTAAAATAGCTTTCCTAGTTAATTTGAAGAATGTCATTGGCAGTTTAATGGAGATAGCATTGTATCTATAAATTGCTTTGGGCAGTTTGTATGGTCGTTTTCATGATACTGATTCTTCCTATCCATGAGTATGGAATGTTTTCCCATTTATGTTATCTCTAATTTCATTGAGCAGTGGTTTGTGACATCTCTGATTTCTTTGAGCAGTGGTTTGGAGGTTTCTTACCAAAATGACTGATCAAAAGCCTCCAAAGGCGCAGGAGAACCTAGCCTTGCACATACTTTGGAGAGATATCAGGGACAGAGCAGAATATAAAAAATGTTAAATGCAATTGCCAAGAGGCAGAAGCAGGCACAGGCAAGACAGCGGATGCATCTGGATCTGATCAGAGGCAGTAGTTGGAATGAGTCAGGAATGGATGGATTGAGCATATAAAACCTCCTCCCAAGGATAGGCTTTCACTGTGAGGAGGGGTTTCCCTTAGTAGCCATGTCTGATTGGTGTCTGTTTTGGTCAAAAGAGGCTATGTAAGAGGAGTCCAAATATTTGGGATACAGGTTACTTTCTTTGCTTCAAGAAAGCTGTCAGTGTATACTGAGGAAGTCTCCCTATCCTAGGCTAGATTGGGAACACTGAAGGTTACAGGGAAGTAGAAATTCCTGTCTCTGCCTGATTCTGTTTATCAGCCTCTGGGATCAGTGAGTTGAGTCCTGTTAAATAATTGATCCATCCCATACTTTTTTGAGAGTAGAAATAACATACTAACCCCCGGTAGGTATTTAATTTAATACTTCCAGACATTGTGGCTGTTGCTGACTGTTTGAAGATAAAATTAATTAAGGTATTCTCAAGTAGTCTGTAGTATAATGCGGAACATCAACCATGTTCATCATGCACTATACTCCCATGTAGTGCATGAAAATGTGAAAATAATAAAACTAGTTTCTGGGGAACCAATTGGCAAAAATTGGAAAATAACCTTAAGATCTTATTTTAATATATTTTTGAAGTCTGGGTAACATAGTGATACCCTATCGCTACCAAAAAAAGGTTTTTAAATTAGCCAAGTGTGGTGGCACACCTGTAGCCCCAGCTACCCTGGAGGCTGAAGCGAGAAGATTGCATGAGCCCGGGAGGTGGAGGCTGCAGTGAGGCATTATTGCACCACTGCATTCCAGCTTGAGTGACAGCAATACCTTGTCTCAAATATATATATATATGTAATATATTTTTTGAATAAAAATGTATAAACCTAATTTCTTGTACCAAAATGCACAATTAATAATATATAAATACAGTAACTTTTTCTTAAAATGTATGTGACTA